ATTTTTTTATTTTTTTTAGCTTGTTTTGTTTCATGATTTATTATTATTATTTTTTTAGCCTCGTTTATTTTTATTCCTTGTCGTTTGTTTTTTATATTAATTTAGAATTGCTATTTCAATATTTTTATTCTTTAATATACGTTGTTTTTTTTTAAAAAATAAAAATAAATATAAAATTTTGACGAAGTCTCCTATCCGATAGGGATTGACGTCGTAAAAAAAAATAAAAAATAAAAAAAATAAAAATTTGGCGATGTCTCCTATTTGATAGGGACCGACGCCATACAAAAATCACCTTTTAATCAAGACGTCTTCGACACGCCGCTTGTGTCAAGGCCTTTTAATGGATCCGATGTTTGAATCGACGTGTCACCCAACGAAGGAGACCGACGATCGTTTCAATATGATGCCACGCCAAAAACAAAAAAATTATTTAGGCTAAAAGATAGGAGATTAAAATTTAGAAAATAGTTTGACATAGATTTTAGGAGATAATTCAGAACTAAACCTCACATTGTACCTTTTTTCGAAAAGGACGCTTTTAGGTGATTTAATATCTTCCTAAAAGCGTAACCAACTCCTTATCTTAGGAATCTCCGAGCCGGTGCTACTTTTAGGTTTCTAGTTCCTTAAATACTAGGTGGCGACTCCAAAACTCTGTAAATAATTTTGTGATTAATTAACACCGAACGCTTAATAAAGTTTTCTTTTGGGGGGTCCCGTCCGACGTCGTGGAGCGACAATGATGAGGTGACACCTTACAAGGAGTAAGTGCTATAATTGCCAAATATTATAATATTATAATATTAAACTTTATTAAGTATCAGTCATTTTAATAACACATAATAAGATTTTTTTGTCTTTCTCATATATTTTATCACCTAACTTTATGAAAGCGATTTTGACATATCAAAGAACTAGGTAAATGTTCGGTTTGAAATGAAATTTGCATTCCGGTTCCATCGATAAGTGAGTATAAGAAAGTAAAGATTTATTTTATTAGCAAAACAGTTTTTATAAAATTTCATACTAACATTAAATAATGGATTCGGACTTTACAGGCGGTGTAATGCATAATTCAATACCATAATAGACCATTACATTGAAGATCTTAACGCTCCAATTGGATCATTCAATGAGTGACCTTTATCATCATCAACTTAGATGACATTATGTTGGTCGTCCATTTCGTTTTCTTAAAAGGGTTTGATATTTATTTGGTCGACGATAATAGATGATTCAAGCACATCCACCATCGACTCGGGTTTTACCTTACATATCGCCAACTAATTGTGTCTAATGTACTTCGATGCTAGTATGAAGGGATCGGATCTATTTGACGTCCTATGACTCGTTAACCTCCACTAGTCTATAATGATCATGAACTCTTGTGTCAATGCTAGGTGTAGTATCGTACCAATCACATTTGAACAATATAATTTTTTTGTTTGGTAAGAAAGAATACTCAAGTTTGAGTATATCAATCAACCTACCGTAATAGTCATTTTTCACCCCACCGTAGCTAATTCCTTTTACACACACTTCACTATATATTGTTACTCTTGTCGAACCATGAACATCGGTATGGAACTTATACTCGTTCACAATGTATCCCGAATATGATTTAATTATTTGTAATGAATTTATAAGGGAGTGAAATTAATGTAAAGAATGTGACAATGATGACCATGATACTAATTAGCGATATGGTAAATCCTATTAGATTATGTAATATTGATTTTTATGTTCAATGGACATATATATTGTCCACATGGATTTTATACAATTACACTAACAAAGTAAGGGTTTAAGCAACCTTGTCCTCCTAGGTTGTTGGGTTAGGTTGGTTATATCCCCCGATGTAATTTTTCATGTTATTTCAATATATCTCTAGGGTACCGTCCATGTTCTCAAAAAAATTAATGATATGATTTGTTATCCTATATAGTTTACTTGTACTTTTTAAGGTAACATTTAAATATATGTCTACGTATCCATGTTGTTTGATATATGTTCTTCGTTAAATAAATATATTTGAAATTATTCATGTTAATATGAATATTATATAATGAATATTTTATTTTAATTCTAATGAATTTAATAATGCGTAGGCTATAATGCCTCAAGGTAGGGGACGTTCTCGGATGTAGTGGTCCATGTCATATAATGGGGTCGCGGTTCGGATATCGATTCGAGTAGTGATCATGAACATGAATGCCATTCTCCTTCCTTTCCTAGTCGGATGGACCCCCTATGGACATGCCTTCGTACCACCCGCCGGTGTCCCCACGATATACCCTTCGAGGCCCGACATGTCCGAGCTTGAGCCGTATCCTTATTATAGACCTCCACGTCCCTATCCATCTTCTCATTCATCGTCGTCGTTGCCCTCGTCATCACAACAAGATAACCGTTCTATTCCCGAACAAGTCCTATCGTAGGACGTCCCTCGTCCATAGGCTTCGAAACCTATCAAATGCACGATCGATCCGCGAGTTACGATCATTCTTATTGATCATAATGAGTACGTTAATTTAATGAAACATATTTTTTCTTTATTACCATAATTATGTATTCATTTATTTGTTAAATTAATGTCTATTTTTATAAGTTGTATCCTTCGATGTTTGCTCTCGCATGATCTATAAGACATTCCGTGAGTATGTTCGTATTTCCGGATAGACGTAGAAGAACATGAGTCCGAAAACAAAAGACTTCTACTAGAAAGAGTTTATGGTACTAATTTATTTATTTAATTTATTATATTACTTCATATTTAAATAACAAATAATAATATCCAATTAAATGTACTAATGAGTATTATTATTTTTCTTGCGTAAATCATTTATGTGGGATAATAACATCAATATCAAAGTTAAGAAAGCGTGAAAAAGTCCGACACGAAAGCGATATTTTGACTTTCTTTGTCGTATCAAGAGAAGCCCGAAGTCAACATTTATCTCACAGGATGTATGGGATACATAGAGTACAAAATGAGCGAAACCCGAGGCCATTGCTCGATCCGAGATGGCATCACGAAACCGCAAGAGCGAGATTGATGGCGTAGGAATTGGTCTTTCAAGACATATGGGGGTTGGTCAGTCATAGAGAGCACACAATACACATGGTAAGTAATATATATATATATATATATATATATATATATATATATATATATATCAAAATAATTAATTAAATATTTGACTATGTTTAATACATTTACTTTTATTTATTTTAGCGTGAGTGTTGGGTCGTGAACCCGATCTTCACGAGGTTTTCTTGAGGACTTATCGGAGAAAGATTGATGATCAATATGTCTTCATCGATCAATGGTCAAGAGTTATCGATATAAGTTATTAATTAGTTTATAACGTTATTTTATACATATTAATTTATAATATTATTTCACATAGCTATTTAATATTATGTTTTTCACAATTATGTAGGAGGCCATAGAAAGGTTAATAAATGAGGAGGAGGTTGCTAGCCGACGTACCTATGGGACTTCATCGATCGACATCAACATTAATGAGATTTTTATGAAAGGCGTTGGTAGAGGAGATAGTAAGAGAAAAAGGATGTACAAACTTAGATCACACACATCTCACTATTACTCTAATGTTAGTATAGCCTCCGGTTCGGCAACTTCATGGGTCCATGTTGGTGATGAGGCACAACGAAAGCAAAGCGAGGATCAAACTGCTGTAAATACGTAAGAGATCCGGGAGCTATGGGGTATTGCTACAATGCTATTGGCTACAACAAATGAGTTGTAGGAGTACACTCGATAGCAACATGTGATGATGACACGGATGCGAGCAGATGTTGCTGCAAGCATTTTCAGCAAGGTGGCGGTTCATCCACCATGCCTACAATGACAACGACTCCACCTAACCTTCAGCTCGATTCCACCCAACCTCCGAGTGACGAACCTGTTAATCTCTCCTAGTTATCATGTTATTAATAACAACAAACTTTCTACTTTTTTCAAGAATTTAATAATTGAATAATATTTATTACATTTTAATAAATTTTATAATAAAAATTATGAAATTTTATAATATTATGTTTTGGGTATTTTGTAGACTTTTAAATAGCAATTGGTTAATTTAAAATAAGGATAAAATAATAATAATATTTTAGTGACGAACTTAGCGACGGCCTAGACCGTCACCAATCTCATAATTTCAACAACTCGTCTAAAACCATTACTAAAATCGTCGTAAATTTATGACAATTTTGTTTACCGTCGTAAAATTTCCTTATTTCTAATACCATTTTCTTCGATGTTTTTTTCGTTGCTAATTTAGCGACGATACAAAAATCGTCATAAAATTTTAACAATTGGCATTTTACGGATGATTTTTGGATCGTCATTAATTTTAATTTTGTAAAATTAGTGACGGTCTAATTCTTTTTTTTTTTTTTTTTATGGTGATAGCCTATAAGTTTTGCTTGTTGGTCCATTTAGTATAGAATTAGGCTTAAAAAGCCTTAGAATTGGACTAATAATTTTTTTCAACTTATGTCGTATTCATATCGTTACATAAATTTCATGATCCGTTGATCTGCATCAACTTGCGTGCTTGTATATTTGTTCCTGTTTGAAGACAACATGTAGAATGATTGCTGCAGATACTAGAAGAAATTGCGCACACCTTTTTGACATAAAAATCCTATTTAATTTCTTAAAGTCCACTATGATGGCCTGGCTTTGATTGACAGATATTTCCATTGATTGAATATTAAATGTGAACAAGAAGACTTACTAATCCCCATCTCTCGCGACACTTGAAATGAGCTTACACAGTAATTTACAAGCTATTAGCATCAATTAGCTTACACAGCTATTTAAATATCACATCTCTGCTAAGCCCTTCTCATGCCTTGCTACTTTTTTGTTAGAAAAATATATGTACAAGTAAACGTCACTAGTCCTCTCCGTAATCTTCAACCAACCTTTCCAATTCGCTAAATAGATTTATAAACTGTGCTGTTTTATGGCTTCCTTGTGCTTCGAGTCTCATGAGTCCTCTTCTTCTAGACATGGATGTACCTATGACGTCTTTTTGAGTTTTAGAGGAGCTGATACTCGCAAAAGATTTGCAAATCATCTTTATGCTGCCTTAGACCAAGCAGGAATCTATGCCTTTTGGGACGATAATGAGCTTTCTCTAGGTGAAGAAATCTCCCCACATCTACTCCAAGCAATACAAGGATCAAAGATTTCTATAGTGGTCTTCTCCAAAGGCTATGCTTCCTCTAGATGGTGCCTTGGCGAACTTGTAAAGATTCTTTAGTGTAAAAATGCTATCGGCTAGCTTGTTCTTCCTATATTCTATGGTATAGATCTTTCAGATATTCAAAAAGAGATGGAATTTTTCAAAAGCTTTTGATGGACATGAAGAAGCCTTTAAAATTGAAACGGTGAAGGTGAAAAGGTGGAGAGAAGCTCTTGAGGAAGCCAAAAATCTATCTGGATGGACTTTCAAGGTTATGACAAATGGGTATGTCTTTCTTTCTAATATTCAATTGCACTCGTAGACTTTTTTTTTTTTTTTTTTGTCTATACACTTTCTAAAACCATGCACTCAGTAAAAATAGAAGCAGCCATTGAAGATACCTAATTGCTTTCGTCAGCCGTCTATATATATATATACAGAGAGAAACACTATCAAACTTCTTTGCATATGTTTTTATCTATCTTGTCCAAATATATGTGTGACTTAATTTTGTAACGAGCAGGTATGAATCGAAATTTATCCAAAGGCTGGTTGAAGATGTGTTGCAAAAATTGAGTCCCAAATGCTTAGATGTTGCCAAGTATCCAGTAGGAATTGAGTCCCGTGTTAATTATATTATTCACCAGCCACGCATGGACTCAAATGATGTTCGAGTTGTGGGCATATATGGGATGCCAGGAATTGGTAAAACAACAATAACAAAAGCTATATTTAATCAACTATGTCATGGGGTAGAGGGAAATTCTTTTATTTCGAATGTCAAAGAAAAAACGGAAGAGAAACTACAAGAACAACTTCTTTGTGATATTTTGAAAAGAAATACTTGGAAGGTCAATAATGTTTCCAAAGGAGTCAATTTGATGAAAGATCATTTTCGTCTCAAAAGAGTTCTTATTATTCTTGACGATGTGGATCAACTGATACAACTAGATGCATTGGTGAGAGAGCGAAATTATTTTGGTGCTGGAAGTAGAATAATCATTACGACTGGAGATGAACATTTGCTAACTCAATTTGAAGTGGATGAGAAATACCATGTTAAAGAATCGCATCAAAGTGAATCCCTTCAGCTTTTCAGTTTACATGCCTTTAGGAACACCCATCCCGAAAAAGGTTATATAGAGCTTTCGAATGCTATAGTTGACTATGCTGGAGGGGTTCCCTTAGCTCTTGATGCTTTAGGTTCTCATTTGTTTAAAAGAAACGTATCTGTATGGAGAAGTGCTATTGAAAAACTACAAAAAATTCCAAACCAAAACATTCAGAAAAAACTTAGAATTAGTTTTGACACATTGGATGACGATAAAGTGAAGGGCATATTCCTTGATATTGCATGCTTTTGCATTGGTTAGGACAAAGAATATGTAGCAGAGATGCTCCATGGTCGTGGCTTCTTTCCTAAAATTGGCTTTGATATTCTCATCTAAAGGTCTCTTTTGACAGTTGATCATCAAAATAAGTTAAACATGCATGATCTTTTACGAGACATGGGTAGGGAGATTTCTCGTAAAGTTTCTTACGACCATCCTGGAAAGCGCAACAGAATTTGGCTTCTTGAGGATGCGTTGGATGTACTAAAAAAATTGATGGTAAGAATTTCATACATCCACAGTCAACTTTAATGAATTCTTAACAAAATACTTTCGCATATTCCTACTTCAACACTATCGTATATAAGTGATAGTTTTGCTATTTTCACCAATAATTTCCAGGGAACGCGGATACCGTGGAGGGTCTCGCACTAGATGTACGAGCATCGAAAGTTGCATCTCTTAGCACATAATCTTTTACAGATATGAGACATTTGAAATTGCTCAAAATCAATGCAGTACATCTTGCGGGAAGCTACAGGCTTCTCCCCAAAGAGTTGATATGGCTTTGCTGGCTTGAATGCCCTATAAAATCTTTGCCATCTGATTTCTAGCTAAACGACTTGGTTGTTCTTGATTTGCAGCATAGTAACATAAAAACAACTTTGGAAGGAGACTAAGGTATGAAATATGCAATAGGCTCCAAATTTTTTCCCTAATTAAATTTAATTTAATGTTACAATTTTCACATGACCACTTTTCTCATTTTTCTCACTTTATTGACTGATTCTCAATAAGCTGAAAATCCTTAATCTCAGCTATTCCAAGAACCTTGCTAAAACGCCAAACTTCGCAGGACTCTCTAGTGTGGAGAGGCTAATACTTACCGCTTGCACGAGTTTAGTTAAGGTACATCGATCTATTGGACATTTGAAAAGCCTTGTTTTATTGAATTTGGAGGGATGTTGCATGCTAAAGACTCTTCGAGAAAGCATTTGCAACTTGAAATCTATTAAAACTCTTAATATTAGTATGTGCTCACAGCTTGAGAAATTGCCAGACTGCTTGGGTGACATGGAATCCTTAACTGAGTTGTTAGCAAATGGAACAGCAATTAAGCAACTTCCCTTTTCAACTGGATATTTGAAGAAGCTAACAATCATTGGGTGGTCACAATATTTACAAACATGATTTACAATCTAAATCTTGGTTTTTGCAATTTTCATCATGGCTTTCAAGGCGAAGCTGTTCTACCTCCATACCTATGCTACCAACATTTCTCACTAGTTTGAGCTCACTGAAAGAACTAGATATAAGTTATTGTGGTTTGTCTGAAGCGGTAGGTTCCATTGATCTTGGGAGTTTGTCCTATCTTGAAAAACTGAATTTGTCAGGAAACAATTTCTCCAATCTGCCTGCTGGTATTGCCCCCTTTCTAAGCTTGTGGATTTGTGGATTCGTAGATGCTCAAATCTAACTCTATCACCCTCAGAGCTTCCATCAAGTTTACTGAGGTTGTATTCATGTTATTGCTCATCAATGGAACGAGTACCCCTACCAATTCATGGAAAAAAAGACCAATACTTATTGCATTGGGGTGCCTAAATTTAATAGAGTTTCAGGGCATGGAATTTGAAGGCAATAGTTCATCCATTTTGAAGTTTGAAGACCGCAACAATTTATCATACAATTCTAAGGAGAGTCTTATTCAGGTTGTCTCTCTTTCTCTGCTTCTTCCTTTTATCTTGCATTTGCACGCACATAATTAGCATGTATTTTAATTCATTATAACAAAAATTTTAGCTAATTAATTTCCTTGAAACCAATAGGGATTGCGCAAAGTTGAAATGTATGAGATTAGCTTTGCTGGTGTTGAGATACCAGAATGGCTCAGCCATCGTGGAAAAGGATCTTCATTTTCATTTCATTTACCCCCTCCAGTTTCAAATGGAAATCAACTCCAAGCAATGCTTACTTGGATCATCTATGCCGCCTCTTCAAAAGGATCATTTGCTTCGTCTAAAACTATTTTAAGAAACAAGAGCAATGGTATGGTGTTGTTTGAAAGGCCAACAATCACCACGTTTGACACAAGTAGTTCCACTAAGCATTCTTGGATACTGAATATACCGTTAACTGGGGACTATCGATGTGCAATGGATGGAGTAGAAGAACTAGAATTGAATGTCAACATAAGCTCCAGTGTAATTGAAAAGTGTGGAGTCCATCTGATAATGGAACAGAATAATGCAGATTCAGACATTCACAGGCACATGCAAGCTGGAAAAGATACGATGATACCTCCATCTCAACAGTATCATCATCGTCCTCTACCATCTTTATCTATTAATGAGAGGTTGGAAAGCAGATTAACAAGAGAGTTGCAAACGAGGCAAATCTCCTCTATGATAAAGGTTCCGATGGGTACGACTTTTACAAAGTGATTTAATTCGATAAGGGTTCTTTCCCCATAGTATTGTTTTTGGGTATTTTGTACTTCATCATTCAAATATAGTGGAAGATGAATCAAGAAGTAAATCGATCCTTAGTCGGAGCAGGTCTTCTGCAATCTCAGATCATGATATTACTAATTAAGATACAGTGGAAGATAAATTAATAAAGAGGTAAATCAACCTGATATTCTGCAATATCAGATATCAGTCTTATGAATTAGCTTCACTTCGATTATTCTTGCACCTTGATTATGATTCTTTTCATTTTGCTGTAAATAATATCTTGTCAACTCTTGTGTATAAACAAATGTGTAAAATGAATAGTAGTGGGTTAGTTCTTCATTCAAATATATCTTTTATATTTTGCTTATGGTATCACCGCTATCAGCTCTAATTAGCAAAACTCTTCATGGCACAAACAAATTCAACAACTTTAGAATCATTTACTGCCGCAAACACCCTCTCCCTCAACTCTACCAACACCTTAATCACTATCGACTTTTATGTGACTTTAAGTGTTTTTTTTTTAAATATATTTTAGCAAAGGGTATTTCGATAATAAAAAATTTATTGTTGAAAAATTTGATCGAATAGACAGATTGAATAATTAAAAAAATTTTGAGAACACGTGAGATGTAATTGGAAATTTAGGGTAGATGAGAGACATTTTGTATTATATAAAGCCAAATGGGTATATTTACCCAAATTAAGGAAAAACACACCCATTTATTTTTATATAATACCTAATATTTTCCATCTATCCATAGATTTTTAATTGTATCATATTTTTTACTGAATGAATTTGAAACTTTTCATATGTCCTTTAATGTGTGTGTGTATATATATATATATATATATATATATTACCGAAACGAGCTTGATGAAATGTTAGTAAAAATAAAATAAATAAATAAATAAATAAAATTAAAGACTTTTAAAAAATAAAACATCAAAGTCATGTTACTCTAAGTGTTTTTGTTTCTTTATTTTTTTTAAATTTTTTTCGTATTTTAGTAAAGGGCATTTCAGTCAAAAAAATTATGATTGAAAATTTTGAATGGAATGATAGATTGAGCATTTTAAAAATTTTCAAAGGCAAATGAGATGTAATTTAAAATCTAGGTACAAATAAAAGACATTAGGTATTATATAACGACAAATAGAGACGTTTATCCAAATTAAGGGTAAACATACCCATTTCTCCTTTATAATATCTAATGTCTCTCATATGTTCCTAAGTTTTTAATTGGATCCCATTTGTCCATGAATGTATTTGAAATATTGAATTTTTCATCTAGGCCTAATTTTCCAATCAAATAATTTTTTTGGAATGAAATGCCTCCGATTGACATTTTACAAAATAAAAATAAAAATTTAAGACTTCAAAAATAGAACATCTAGATCATGTGAATTTAAGTGGTTTTTTTTTTTTTATGGGGCATTTCTGTAAAAAAAAAAAAATTATGGTTATGTAACTTTTTTTTTTTCATTTTTTTTCATTTTTTGATCGAAATACCCATAATTAAAATGCAAAAAAT